GGCGCAGTGTCGCAGTTCATTTGCAACAAATGTTGCATGCACAGTCTGAGACGAATTTCCACTTGATTTATGCATGTGCATTTTGTGTCGCTCTTCTTGTGTTGCCACAATTTTCCCCGATTTATGATCAAATCTGAAATGAAATTCATTTTGCAAACTTGCTGCCCATAAACATCATTGCCATGTGCGACATGTTCGCCATGCAGGAAGTCAGAGCGCCCTGTGGCCGAATGCTCGAATGTTGTTGAACCTCTGCTTGGGTGCTGCAACAGTTTTATTGTCAACGCGGTCCATTGCCAAGATGTCAATCAAAACAACTGGAGCATGAGCGACAGCCCACTCGACAGGGCACAGGCATTCCAGAGAACGATAAAACATATGTGCATAGACCATATAGTATATATAAGCTAGATATATTTATATTGATACAGGGTATGGATGGAATTCGGTTAGCCTGCTGCAACTTGAGCAACAAAAGTGCTGCCACAATTGATGGATGCGAAAAGGAAACGTTAAAGAAATCAATCTGTCGTTGGAGTGGCTGAGCGACCAGTTTACGATGAGAGGGAGTGAGAGAGATAGAGTGGGAGAGAGGCACCCCAAGTAGACCCCAAACGCGTGCTATTGTCGCTGGCCCAGCATCAATCGCTTTCCCATTCACAATCACTTCAATCTTGTGGCCTCTGCCCGCACCCTCCTCGCCAAGCTTCCCACAGCTGCCAAATGCATTCAATCACTTTATTTGTTGCATCTCCAGCGGCAGCATCCTCTTCATCTTGTTGCCCAACTGAGAAGAAATATGTATTTTATTTACTTTGCACTTATGACCCCCATGCCGGCGCTCGCTGTCGCCGATCGGGTTAAGTGAATCTGATACGAAGACTCTCCAAACGACTCTGCATTTGCATCTCATCTCATCTCGCTTTCGAGCTGTTGCTGCTGTTGCTGCTGTTGCTGCTGCTGCTGCTGCCTTTCATTTCCCGTCGTCTCTCGTCTTCCGTTGAGTGTGTTTGGCCGGCAGCCACACCGAAATGTCATTGCAACGACAAACATAACTTGCGATCTCCCTCTGTCTCTCTCTCTCTCCCTCGCTCACTGTTTCTCTGACTCTCTCCCACCCTCTTCTTGACCATCGCCCGCTGCAGCTGCACATTACTTTAGATGCAAACACTGATGGATTGTGTCCCTGGCCCCAAAGATCTCCATGCTTATGTGTATCCACATAGCCAGTAGCTAAATCATCTGATGTGCGCTAAGAAGCACAGTGCTTCAACAAATAGTTGCATGTATTTGGGGAAAAAATATATGAGACACACTTTAAAAATATTTTAAAAATACATTGGGTATTTTATATAATTTTATATAAAATTATATTTAATTATTTTAAGAAATTTAAAAAATACTTAAACATATTATTTAAATATATTTATTTATATATTATTTAAACAATTAATTTTAAAAAGTTTTTATTATTTTAATTTTTTATTTTATAAAATTATTTAAATAAATATAAAAAAGTTCAATTAAAAAAGTTTAAAAAAAAAAAAAATTTATAATAATCGTATATATATTTATTTTATTATTTTTATACGATTATTAATATTTATTTTTATTATTTGAAACTTTTCTTATTATTTATATACGATTATTAATAATTATTTTTTTTATTATTATTATTTTAAACGTTTTTTTAAACTTTTTTATTATGATTTCTTTATTATTTTAAAAACATTATTTAAAAAAATTTTCAAAATATTTATTTTTGTATATACCTACAAAAAAATAAAATAAAAATACTTTGCAAGTTTATAAAAAATGTATATGTTGTATTCCATAATTCCTTTGACATTGAGCCACTGTGCGATTGAATGACAACAACAACAACAACAACAACTGCAACAACAACCACAGCAACTGTGTACGGTACTTACAGATGCATCTACAGCCACCAGTATCTGTGTGAATACATGTGTGTGTGCTGGCAACTGTATGAGTGTATGTGTAGTCTTTTGTGCTACGGGCTGCCTTGTCGCAGATCTTTAATTGCAGAATTGTGTTTCGCTGCCAGCGCCTCAGCCGCACATAGATGAGGATGGATGCGCATTGTGGCAGCGCGACGCGCTGGCATTACCCATCTCCGGGCCGATCTTGGTGATTAATTGACGTTGGTGTCGCGTGAGCTGCGCGGGTTTATTAAAAGGATTACAAGATGTGAATGTGCGACGACGACGGACTCCACTCGAGTCGCAATTCCATAAATGCCAGCATAGACCGATGCAGCCAGTCGTAATAAGATTAATTACGAACGCCGCAGCAAAGAGTCGAAGCACAAACACAAGCACACTCACACACACACACTTATATATAATAAGGCACAATATTTTGACATGACAATTAGAAACTTGAAGTCTTCCATTGTCATTTCAAGTGCCTGCATTAATTCGAAAGCTCTAAGTTCTTTAATAATATTCATAAGGCACAAATACTTTTTGGACAATGCCCCCTGGGACCGTTTAGCTGTAATCCTGGCCAGACATTTGCATATATTTAGCCTTTGTATCCTTTTGACACGCGAGGCTCTGCAGGATAAGTGTCATCAGGGGCGCAAATAATTGACTTTTAATAGAGGGTCGGGCCCGAGCAGCGTTACGCCAATTAGTGGAGAGTGTCATTAAGGGTCACTTAAACATATTTTCGGTAGAAATATGAGGGATATACTCCCAGCTGGATATAACTGTTATATATGAGATATATTTATACGCCTAAACGATTCATTTGCTTCAGTGGCAGAAAGTGAAATTCGCAAATGTTTCGTTAAAACATGCAATTTTTTTTTCTGGCTTTAATGAACTTTACTTCAGTTTTGTTTGCCAATGCCAATGACGATGATGATGATGATGTCATCGCCCAAGACAACCGTACGAAAGCGCAAAGCATCCAATAAATCACAACCCGATCGCACAGTTTATGCTCATGCTCATGCCCGACTCGTGACAGCTGGATACCCAACTATGGCGGAGGCTGTGGATGTGGATGTGGCTGCTGCTGCTGCTGCGGCTGCGGCTGCACGCCAAACACCCGAGACAACGAAGTGGAGCAGCTGCCAGAGATTAGTCAGTTTCAGTGACTGGCAGCACTGGCGGGACTCTTGGCGCACTTCAACTCTCTCGGGAGCCCGCGCAAGCTGCTCAACTGGTTTGCCCGACTGCACCAAGAGAATAAAGGGGGGAGAAACGTGCACGGAGATCAAGGTGAAACACTCGAAACACTCGGCTCAGAATTCATTATGTTAGCCAACTAATTGCTTAGAGCTGATATATATGTGTATATATATATATATATAGAACTGACTGCGGCGCATATCAATTTCAAATGCAAATCACAAATGATCATTAAATCTCAATAGTTATTTAGCTAAGCTTTAGTTATAACACTAACGAGACAAAAGCTTAACCCACTGACTAATGCCTGCCAAAGTGATGTTCATTTAATATAGGCATGGATTGGTCTCTAAGTAATGAGATCGGCCTTTAAGATCGTGAATTATACGAAAATATTTATATTCAAATTGTTTTTGAAGTCTAACAGGCATTAAAGAAGGGGAAGACAACTTTAAATTAGAGGCATCTCTAAAGCTATACTCCCTATACTAAACTCGCTAACCAATATGCCCGATTCGTTTCATTGAATGTCTACAAAAATATTGATTAATTGACTAACTGTGCTAGTGATCGACACACATACAATAAAAAGTCTCACACATACATACATATATACCTCATATACCTAAAGCTTAGCCGAGTGAGAGCCCACAGTGCTTAAAAAAAAAAAAAACAAAATAAAATTATAATTCATAATAATAATTATTCATTGAGCTTGAACTTTCGCACATATTGAAGCGCTCACGTTTAATGAACGCTAATACATAATATAAACAACAAACTGAGAATCGAGTAGAAAGACCATCATTATCTTGCGTAATGCAAGCTTAACGGTTACCAACTTAGAGGTCACTCACAGATACAAAACCAAAAACTTCTTGCCAAGAACACGCCACAATGAAACCGCAAAATTTATGAAACACTCTGAAAACGCAGAGGTCTTAACCCTCATGCTTTCCGCAGAGTCGAATCTTGTTTCCCAGCTGCGATTATTCATGCTCAACACAAGCAGAAGAGCTGCGTTGCAATTTCCAATTTGCTGGAGGTTAAGAAAGCGAAAACCAAAAAGACATTAACAAAATAGGTAAGTAAAATTTCCAACTGGCTAACAGGAAATGCTCCAACTTACCAATTCTCTCAGCAAATTGAAGGCATTTCCTGAAGATTTTCTTGGAGCTACCAAAAAAAATAAAAAACCGAAAAACAGGTTTGGTTTTCTCTCAGTTGGTTCTCTAATGCTCACGCCGGAACTTCATTAAAACCTAATAATGTTTATTTAGTAACACCTTAGCAGCTAATTTGTTTAGTCCCCCGAAGCATGTGCACTTAAGGCGATAAATGCGCTTTGCGCCTGTTCCAATCAAAAAGCCAGCTTAAAGCTTTATGATTGTTATGCGTGTGCTGTCACAGATATACATAGGCATATATGTACATATGTATGAACATACATAGGTAGATACATGCTGCATGACTCACGGTCACGCTTAAGAAAGGTAAAACGAGGCATACGAAGAGAAAATACCCAAAATGACGAAGTGCACATTCATGAATTTTGAAATGGGCCGCCAGAGAATCAGAGAACCAGAAAAAAAAACAGACAAAAACAAAAAACTGCTAGCTTAACTGTGAGCGTGACTGGATTCCAAAAATTGTTTCGTATTGCTGTTGTTGTTGTTTCTGTTGTTGTCTGTTGACTGTTATGTGATCAGTGACTCTTTGGCTTCAATGATTCGCGCCAGAGTGCTGAAAAGTGCTAAAAAGTACTTTATGTGACATGTTTAAAGTTGAATTTTTGTTTGCATAGTGCTTTCTTTTGGTCGTTGACAAATGTTTTAGATATCACTTCTCACTTGGCGTTTATTCATTGGCAGTCAGTTATTTTGCTAACCACACAATTGCCAGCTTCTCATCTGTACATTAATAACTAAAAACACGAAAGAGCTTTTAACCATTTGAGAGTTTTTCTTCTGTATAACTCTAGCTCTTCACTTCTTCTCCTCCGCCTCTGTGGTCCAGTTCCCGGGACGATCGGCCATAAGAGTGTAATCGTTCTTGGCAATGTTTACGCCACCGTATTGATGCGTGGGCGAATCGGGGAAGAATTCCCAGCCCTGTTCAATAGACATCTTCTTGATGACGCCGGCAATGCCTAGAAGTAAAATGAAGTATTACGATACAAATCGTTTAATATAAATATTGCAACATTGTATTTAACGTAATGTTAACGTTATATTTAAGATAATGTAAGATTATATATCAAATAGCGTCTAATAAACATATTCAAATTACGTAACACTAAATCCAAATGACGTAACGGTCAATTCAAATTACGTGACTTTATACTCCAATGACGTAATGTCATATCTGAATAACGTAACGCCATATCTGTATAACAAAACGTTATATCGAAATATCGTAATTTTATATCCAGATGGCGTAACGTTATATCCAAGTAACGTACACTATATCTGAATAGCGAAACGCCATATTTGAATAACGTAACGCCATATCTGAATAACAGTAACGTTATATACAAATAACGTAACGCCATATCTGAATAACGTAACGTCATATCCAAATACCACAATGTTATATCCATATGGAGTAACGTTATATCCAAACAACGTAACGCCATATTTGAATAACGGTAACGTTATATCCAAATAACGTAACGTCAAATCTGTATAACGTAACGTCATATCTGAATAACGTAACTTCATATCCAAATACCGCAATGTTATATCCATATGGAGTAACGTTATATCCAAACAACGTAACGCCATATCTGAACAACATAACATTATATCCAAATAACGTAACGCCATATCGGAATAACGTAACGCCATATCTGAATAACGTAACGTCATATCCAAATACCACAATGTTATATCCATATGGAGTAACGTTATACCCAAATACCACAATGTTATATCCATATGGAGTAACGTTATATCCAAATACCACAATGTTATATCCAATGGAGTAACGTTATATCCAAACAACGTAACGCCATATTTGAATAACAGTAACGTTATATCCAAATAACGTAACGCCAAATCTGAATAACGTAACGACATATCTGAATAACATAACGTTATATCCAAATAACGTAACGCCATATCGGAATAACGTAACGCCATATCTGAATAACGTAACGTCATATCCAAATACCACAATGTTATATCCATATGGAGTAACGTTATATCCAAATACCACAATGTTATATCCATATGGAGTAACGTTATATTCAAACAACGTAACGCCATATCTGAACAACATAACATTATATCCAAATAACGTAACGCCATATCCAAATAACGTAACGCCAAATCGTTAACGTTAACGTTTGATAAAATGTTACTGTACGTCCAACGTCGTTACGTATACTCCTTACCGAGAAACAGGCCAGTCACAAGGCCAGCCACATGGTTATGTTTCCATGCACCAAAGACACCACCAGCAGCAAAGCCTCCGATCAGATAATTTAGTCTAGAAATAATGGTGATCAATTAATAAACATTCCGATTCATGGCTACTTAACTCACTTATCATCCTTTCCGCGAATATTTGTGGCAGCAAGCGTAGTTACCGTAAATGCTGTAGCCATGCCCATCAGTGGACCCGTGTTGTAGGCGAAGCGTCCCAGTGTGGGTATGTAGCCCTGCGGCTTGGTGAGAGTTAACACGTCAAATGTAGACCACGCCAAACCGGCGGCAATGGCGTATTTGTTTGTGGCCACAATCTTGCCAAAGGCATCTTCGCCATCGGGATAGTCGTAGTATTTCGAACGTAAGATCGACATATTTGCCTAGATGCAAAATAAATGCATGTAAATAATAATCGCATATGTATGCCAACGATGTTGTCCACGGCTCTAGCATTAGCCAAGAGTTTTATATTAAGGTTTGGACATCGCGATATAGCTTAAATATTTCTCTACAGATTTTTTATTTTGCTGGACTATTCTTTGAACCATTTATGCTTTAAAGCTTAATTTACTAACCTGCCGAATTTACGTAACTATTTCTAAACGAAGAATTATTTGACAAAACAGCTGTAGATCAGTGTGTACTTATTATAAAAAAGGTTAAATACGAAAATACCAAAAATACAAATGGTAGCAATGTGTTTACTTTTTATTTCGATATCGATTGAACAAGTATTAGATTTTTAATTTTTTTAGATATTAAAGAAATAGCACACTTTTTCTTACAGTTCCAAAACGAGCATAACATTGATGGAAAGAAGTCAGATAAATCGATAAATTTGTAGAGCAACCGCCAATTTAAAGTAATTGCTAGAAACTAAATATTATGGAATATAGATTTAAATAGAATATATTAAATGGAAACTATAATGCATAATCTTTCGAATGTATATTAAATTAAGTCACTGACCTAACAGTAATTAAAAAGTTACTGAAATAACTTTAATTTTTTCGCCAACCTATATTTAACCAATAATTTATTCAATATCCGCAACTAAGTTGGATTTTCTTTATCAGCACTAAGCTAAGAATTTATATCCAAATATTCTGCAGCGCCGTAAGCCGGCTATAAATATAACTGGTATGTTAAAATTACATTTTAGATATGTTTACTAACATAAGCTCTTCCTGTTAACAGCAGCTAGAATTTGTATCTAAATTTATATATAATATACCTTATGCAAGTTGTCTGTCTGAAGACAATATTAACAACGGAAATGCTTGTTTAAATGAATTAAGAAGACGAAGACGAGACAAGACCAAAAACAGATGAGCTCATTACAATTGAACTGCACTTAAACAGCTTAAACAATTTTATTAATTACAATTTATGACTTGAATTTATCTAAAAATAATAATTTAGGCAATGGCAACGCTTTGGGTCTTTTACATAGTTGTATGTACGTGCCAGCGCGAGCTTTGTTATATTTTGTGCAATGATCAAATAAATTAAAAATGAGCTACAAACTAAACAATTAGCACGTACAAAACAAATTGCAATTTGATGAGAATTTTTTGTTATTTTTTGGGTGTACAATGGGACGACACTTCACATGTTTGCCCTCTCGATTGCTTAGCTATTTGGACTTCTTTGACTCCACTGGCGGCTGCTTTTCGACAGACTGCTTGTAGAGCTGATTTAATCCAAAGCAGGCTCTCACATTATCGCTGGAGAAGAAAAACTTTTGCAATTTTCCCTTGGCATCGCCGCAAGGACGACGATCCACCTCCTTGCCCTGCTGGAAGAGTATCACAGTGGGCAACTGTTTGGAGAAGCTGCTGTCCGAGATGTGATACTTGGCCGCAACGTCCGGGAAGCGTCCAATATCGATTTTGCCAAATTTCAATAAATTCGCATTATATTCCGCCGACAGTTCAGCAAAGATCGGTGCAAAATTCACGCAGCTCGGATTCCAAACAGTGTAGAAGCATATTAACCAGCTAACCTTCTTATCCCTTACCAGCTCCTCCTCAAAGGTTTTGGCATTACGGAAATAGGTTATGTGCTCAGGGCCACTATATGATGGCTCCGGCAGCAGCATTCCAACGAGCACGCATATCAGCAGAAAGCCCAAGCCATAGCGAAAATCTGCATAGGCCCATAAAATCATATTCGCGACTTTTGTGTAGAGAAACGACGAGGTCAAATAGTTGATCATGGTGACACTGCCCGTTTTTCGTGAGCGTATCATCACAACAATCATCAGAAAGAAGAGTATTTCCACTTCACGGCTATCCATGTCGCAGACGTCCTCCTCCTGGTTTGCATTCTGGAAAAGGCGCGTGCAAATCACTTTCGTCTTCTTTGACACCAGATACGATACGGCCAACAGTATATTAACCCAGTAGTAGGGTTTTGCCAGCACTTTCAGCTCCTTTTTCCATGACATCGTTTAGTAATGTGTCGTTTTTCTATCTGGGTCACCTTTTTAATTAACAACTTCCCGTATTTTATTTTTTTGTTGTTAGCTAATTTTGGCGACGAACAACCTGAACGATATTCAGCTACTCTATTAGTACTGCTGTGCGCGTAACAGAATTCTGCTAAGTCAAAAAGCGGCAGCAGCTGCTGCTCAATAAGCACTGTTATAAAATTGCGAGAGACCAACAGCTGTCATTAAACAGTGTTGTAGGTGTAATCAAAAACCGAACCCGTTACACTTAAAAATAAATTCAAATATAATAATGGAATTATTGGAAGCATTTGTCTAAATAGAAGTTAATCTCATGTGTTTCTTTCTGTTGTCTTATTTTGCAGACAAAAGGTCAGTATGCCGCAGCTGTTGCTAGACTAGCCGAATTCTGTTCACCTTAATTTTGCCACCTTAATACGAAACATTTAAAATTGAGTACAAACTACTTCAAATGTAATTTCAAGGGCCAGGTTAATTAATATATTTTTATTTGTTTACATTTATTTCAAACAAACAATTAATCTGATATACTATATTTTGATTGTAGAGCAATTATAATGTCTTTTGATAGCCTTGCACACTACAAGACCCGCCTAATCTATCATTCAGCATGTGTTGTTCGTATAATTCTATATACATATATATATAGGTTGTACTCTAATCAGGATTAATAATCATTCTACGTGACTGCGGACGCTCGTGGCTAGACAGGCAATTAAGTGTCACAATTTTGGGCAACCTCCTTTATTTTTTGTATACTTTATTTATTACTTTTTTGCAAAAAAAAAAAACTTTGCTGATTGCAGGCGTGAAATGATGCATGCATTTTACCTATAGTCAGCAAATCGCGCGTCACAGACTTGCACATCTGACTTAAATGTATTTTTACAATTATCATTTATAATGCTCTCAATAAAATATTGCAAATATAGTACATACAAAGCATTTCCATGAGCCTGGCAACAGCGCAACGCACAATGTAATCAACTTTTAATATAATTATTACGAAAATGAAAATGGTGTCACAGGGATATTTAAGTAATTATAGAGAATTTAAATCGGAATCGTAATATAAGCCAATATCATTTTGTTTATTTATTTACTTTACATATATTTTTTTTTACATTATAAACAATCACACAGCTGGTAAACAACTACTGAATAAACAAAACAAAAAAGTCAATATATATTAGTAAGGTCAGTAAATGCATCAGCAGGCATATATGTATGTATATAGTAATTATACATATGTCTATATGTCTGATCTGATTTTGTACTTGAGTACAGATAGACACGAACCGGTTAAAATCGGTTCAGTTGTCTACTTCCCATGGACCGACTTAAGATAGAGCTGTCCATGGGCTACGTTCATGGCCAAGAAATTCATTAAAAATAAAAAATAAAAACTTCTGTGCTAGACAACAGCTGACAATAATCTTATCACATCAGATTCATAGATAACTATTTGTTTGGCCAACACTTTTTTAAAGGTTGACAGATATATTATTTTTTTTTTTTATTCTCTCAAGCTACAAACTGCGCAGTTAGGCTGAGCGTGTGATTAGAAATGAATTTAAATTGTTTGATTCGCTTATCATGTGAACAAAAGTCGAAATGTCTAGTTCAAATATATGTGTGTACAGATGTATATACTTATTTGGGAAACCTGCCTCCAATAAAAAGAAAAATCCAGCAAGAGACCTCATGAGGCATACACACTCTCTCCTATAAACAAAATGGCGTCAATAGCTGATCTCAATCTGGGTCCCTCTCCCTTTTCCTCTCCCTTTTATTCTCCCTCTCTCTCTCTCTCTCTCTCTCTCTCTCTCTCTCTCCATCTCTCTCTGTTATCAATCTCCAGCTGTCTGTTTGAGAGCTCTATAAGTTTCAGCTGAAGCTTAGCCTCCGATTCAGTTCTGTCTTGAACCTACTTTGTGTTGCGTCTACAATTTCAACAAGCTCTTACGCTACAGAGCGTCCAAATCTATAAAAACGTGCATTTTTTTAAATGCCGCGCAAAGAATTGTGCAAACAAAACTTTTGAAAACCGAAATCGAATAAAATATTTTGGCTAAGCCAAAGGTGTCTATAGAAAAACTGTGCGAACAAATTTGTTACAGCCACAAACGTTAAATTTTGAATGGTGCCAGTGTTAGTTAACGACTCGAAAATTGCTAAATACACTTCCAAAATCTATACTAAATCTAACAATCGCAGCAAGCTGCAGCTCACACAGCTATTTTTCATAATCAACCATTTCAATCTAAACTGTAAGTTTTCTCCGTTTTACCCATGTAAATTAGTTCCTTATTTTATAAATTTTTTTTAAATTGTTTTTTTTTTTTTTTTAGTTGTCGAAATGGCTTTGCCGCAGGGAGCCTATGCGGCTTGTAAATTACGTGAGCAGTTCCAGGAGAAAGACATGATTGTCTCACGCCTAAGAGCTGCGAACATTTCTGATAAAATTGACAATAATGCACGTAAGTGGAGGAGATGATGATGAGATAGTGATTGAGAGTGTTGGAGAGAGTGATTGAGCTATATTATTGTTTTGTTTGTAGAACGTGAATACTCGCCGGCCAAGTACAATGATAAGCTAATGAATTCCATTTGGGGCCTCTACAATCGCTATTCGCCACACAATGTCAAGAAGAACGAGTACGCCCCGCCCAAATTCTAATTAAAACTGGCGGCGCAACAGCTGTAAGTAATCAAGATCATGTATGACCGACTGCATAATGCTCGTTCGCAGCTCAATGCAGTCTAAATATTTCTTAATTTTCAATTCGTATTGCCTTCGTGGATGAATTTTATAGTTCATGGATCTGTATATTGATAAGCTTATCAATGTTTCAGTCGGGTTTAATCTGGACACACGTAGACCCACGCCTTCAGTGAACGTCTATGCATAATCTGAAAATTTTCTAAAACAGCAGTTTTTATATTTAAAACTTAGGTGTAGATGTGGATAGACAAACAGACATTCTGAGGGGATAACTACATATATTATATAAATATTACTATAAATTATTCATATATTCTTAAAAAAAGAAAAGCATCAGTTTATCTTATTATTGTCAATTATAATTCACTATCTTCAGTTAAATGTAGCATATATTTTATATACATACATACATATTCAAAATTTTGATCAAAATTAATGCAATTATTAAAGTGATCTATAATACCTGTAGCTTATCTTAGTATATTCTCATAGATATTTTCATATTTCTCATTATATTATTAATATATCATATATTTTATATACAATCCAATCTAATTTTGTCCCCCGTCCTCTCTCTCTCCATCTCTTTCTAGCCCCTATTGAGCTGTTGCGCCTCCATTGCAGCCTCTGCCTGAAGACGTTTAATTGTTTTTTGGGCTATTGGCTAATGCTGCTTGCTGCACAGGCACACGCACACATATATACGCACATACTTACACGTAATATATAAACACTATATAATCTCCACATATATACTCAATTATATAACAACAAAAACATTGAAAATTATAAATAACAAATTTATTCATTGGCATCTATGTAAAATTCAATAAATACTCGTGATAAATATAAATATATATGCATATATGTATATGAAGCAAAAAACATGTAAAAGCTGCTTTTCATTTTAGCCATATATGAGATACAAAAAGATAATCAGATACAAGATACGAGATCAATTCAAATAGCAGGACTCATAGGTCGGCACCATGTACTTGATATTGATGAACGCATCCTCGCCGCCGTGCAGCTCAAGCACCTGCAGTGTCTCATCTATCAAATCGCCCACATTCAAATTTTTCTTTTGCGCATAGTCGATTTCGTCGCCACAGTTTACTAAACAAAAAAGAGAAAATTTATTTAAAATTGAGATATTTATTTTATATATCTGCAGACTTTTCTTTTCTAAAAGATCTAAGTTATAGAATCATCTTCTGATAGATATTTATATATACTCTTTTATCTGAATATCAAATTCCTTACATAGATAAATTTTCAATATTTCTCATATTGTACACAAACCCTAGGGCCCAAAACTTACTTCAAATGGAAAACTTGTGTATACCATAAAATATACACTATAGTCATTAATTATTTTATATATACTATGCTCCACAGAACGTAGAACCGTAATATATTACGTATACGCATGCAGTCTAAACACACAACAATGTCTTCAACTACTACTACTACTACTGTTGCAGCAGTCATAATCCTCATTTCATTTGCATTTGCCTTTAGGCGAAACAAATCCAGATTAGTCTAGAAAAAACTCCACGTATCCTAACTCTATGATAATCACAACCATTACTTAAACCACCCTCGTTACATTTCTGCACTCAATTCGCACTTACAATTCTTCACTTTGAACGCATTGAACATGGGCAACAGTTGTCTGTAGAACGGCACCAGGGCGGGACCCACCATATCGGAGGACATGACCAGTTGTTGTATGATTTTCAATGTCGTGCACATCACCTCCACGTTGCGGGTGCTCAGTGCGTCTGCAAAAGGTAAACCAAACAAAAAGTAAAACAACAAGAAAAAGTTACAGGTGCAAATTAAAGCAAAAGCAATTTGCGTGCCAGGACAAATACTTTTTTTGTCTAGGCAGCTCTTCGATTTTGGCTCTCCATTGTATATTTGGGTTTTCCGATTGCCCCCATCGCCGGCAGGTACTCACTCTTTAACGGTAAAATTAATTGCGGTACCACGGGATGGATTTTATCGCCGCCCGCTTGAAGCAAATCGCTAACGCCCTGGCGAGCATAGGTCTTATATGGATGCTTCGGTTCGGCCAACCCATCGAAGAACAGCGGCAAATAGAGACTGTAGTCCAGCTTGTCAATGTCCACCTGGAAGCGAAATACAGGTGAGCTGGTGACAGTTAAGGCAAGTTTTCTTGCGCCTTGTTTTACAGGTGTAAATGTGCACGCGATGCTTGTTAAGTTTTCCTTTTTGAATTTCTATTAAAATGTCTTTCATTTGGTGGGAAAGTTAAATGGGTTAAATATATATATATATAGAGAGAGAGATAGGGAAAGACTGCGTGATTGAAAACGGTTCAAGCAAATCATAAAACTTTTCCTTTGTTTTTTGTTTCTTTATTTATTTTTTTATTCACATTTTAATTTTCGAAGTTTTCCTATAACTTGCATAAATCATAAATTATACATGAATATCCCTTTCATACATATATGATATGCATACAAATACATATATAGTATAGTTTATAGCCAAAAATTTCTCGAATCACTTTGAAAGTCCCACAATGCAAAATCTTTTTATATAAAAAAATATATATACATACATATATTATATTCATATTTGCCTCAGCTTTATGCTGAGGTATTATTTATAGATTGTGATAAAATAGTGTGTACTTAAATAAATGAATACAAATACTTATATATTATTAGGGGAAGATATGCAGTGCGTACTTTAAAAAATTTCAGAATATATACAAATTTCCAAAATCTAAGTAAATATACTGCAAGTTTGAAAGTTTTGTCCTATATGACTAATATGTATATAGCCATATTTTTGCGCACCTCCCTTTGCAAATTACCTTGTAAAAATATGAAAAAGGCAAAACTTTCCATGTAAAATCTTTCTGCTTCCATATGCAAGTCAGCTCTATCATCAGCTAAGCCTAAGCCCCACTTAAAGCTCCTTCGATTGACCTTCAACCTTGATATGCATATACGACGTATTATACGTACATATAGCATATATATGATGTATATCTCTGTCACTTGCATATCGCTCATATGTAAATGAACTGTCAGAAATGCCGCAGCGCTAAATAAACAAACGCACCCGCTTAAGCATCATACCAAACATTTACACATGACATTGAAAAGGCCAAGCCAGGCCAGACCAGGCCAGGTTCCCTGTTCTATATATTATGTTCTGGTATTCTCTCTTTTTGAGTGACTGACTGGCTGACACCTGGACGTCACAGCTAGTGTGGCAAACGCGAATGCGAAACGGAGTCACTCCGTTTGTTTGTTCCGGAAATAGACAAATTCTATATAAATATATACATAGGTAATAACCTACATATATCTAGCCATATGAGTGTCGGAGTTCTTCTAGTTTTTTTCTTTGTGCCAACACTTCAAATATAATTGGACACGCAGGTGTGCAGTCGTTAGTCGGGGAAATTGGGTCTAACACCTATTGGCAATTAGTTGGCATTGATTTGTTTGGCAGGTAATTTACGAATCAAAGTTCAGCAAATACGGAGAAAACATTTGGATAGTTTCCCTTCACAATCGATTTAAAGTACAAATTTTTAGATTTATGCAGTTTTTGTTTGGAATTCTCAAACAGTTTAATCGCATGCAGAGTCACTATATTTATACGTTAAGGATTTCGTTTTCAAATTTTTTTTTTATTTTCCCTTTAGAAAACGAAAATGAAGAAAAAAGGGTCTATTGTAGTTTCATACTAAATTTCCTAGTAGTCATATATTAAGAACTATTTTAAAAATTTCCTAAAATTGAAGAAATATGAACTAAGTCGAAGCTTTTTTTTGCAATTTAACTAATTTTTTAAGACTTACTTGTCTATAAAATATATATGAAAATTCCCTGATTTAATACTTAATATACAAAATATAATATTAATAAAAATTGCTCCGTCTACTCACCGTCCAGCCAATCTTATCGCCTCCGCACAGATATTCCATTTTAATGGGCAAGTCTCCGCGATCAAAATACATGCGAAACAATGTGCCACGCCTCGGATTCTTGCTAGCCGTGCAGGCGTTAAGGCTAGCATTCAAATTGCATGATGAAATTGATTTCTGCTGTTTCTTCAGACCTAAAAGTAAATACAAATAATCAAAATAATCAGACATTTTCTGGGGTTCCGGAAAACGTTTCGAAATACGAACATTTGGGATTCGGTGGACGACCTCGTGCGCTTGCAGTGACGGGTGGCTCGTGTATGGGACCGTTAATGACTACCGTGTTTTTCTGCTGCGATTGTATGGAAAATGGCGGCACATAACGGGGTCGCGTACCCTGAATGCCGCTAAATGGCCGTAATTGTGGTGGATTTGCGGATTTGGAACGTTGTTTCAGCGATATGGAGTTTGTATGTAAATCATACGAGGGCCGCGCTCCATAGGCGGTGGTTATGCGTGTATTAGACATTTCTTTGTTGCGTTAGTCGTCGAACTGTATTCAGCTAGCGTAAACAACAAACTGACGACCTGAGCAAAAGGTTCAGGAATTTTCTCAATTTCTGTGTGTATTGGTATCCTCGAGCGTTACTATGGCGCGCGTTGCTAGGACAGCCAAAAGCACAGTGACTGACTGATAAGACACATTGTTTAGAAATTGCATATAATGGTATTTATGCTCTTGCCGTTGCCAGTAAACAAACGAATTGGGCAATTTTTTAATTTAAAAAATGCGCCAAACTGCGATTACATGTTGCACTCTGCTAGTCTGGCAACGTCGCACAGCAGAAAATATTGTATAATAAACTAAATGAATATATTGCCTCTGTGTATATAAATAGAGCTTAAACTTAAAGCTTAATAAATGGTGGTTGATAGTGCTTTAATTTTTTATTTATAATAAATATAATTGTTATGCTAAAATGGGACTTTTTCAGCTGTCACGCGCCACTTATAAAGAGAATCGATAACGATAATTTACATTGAATTAAAAGGTAAAAGAAATACTAATTACACAATATTCAAATTTTCTTTACCTTTTTCAGTCATAAAACAAACTTATTTATAAGATTGCTCCAATTGATTACATATATGCCCATTATTAAATGTATTCCCAAGCCTTACCATTTGTACTTGCATATTGTTTACATGAAACCACTGACCAAACAACAGTGATACAACAAAGAAATAAAAGTATTTTCAAAAGGATAGTTTAATACCAAACGCGTATATTCCATGGCTAGTCACTAAAAAATACCAGTGACTAGCAATTTTGCTGCACCAGCTCTACTGGTGAACGAATAAAGAACAAATGTGGGTGCAAAAAAAAACCTTGCATTAAATTGGCAATTATCGTGGCGCAGATATTGTGTTGATTTAAAACCAATATACCGCAAATACCTACGAATTGAAGTAAAAAGCAGAGCCACTGGCACTAGCACAGCTAACGCATATGCAGACGTAGAACAACGACAACAACAGCCAGCAACATGTCTTCCAATACAAATGGCAATGGTGAATTAAAGAAATTGTCAGAGGAATCTCTGCTGCAGCCGCCAGAGAAAGTGTTTGACATAATGTACAAACTGGGCGAGGGCAGCTACGGTTCGGTATATAAGGCGCTGCACAAGGAGAGTAGCTCAATAGTGGCCATCAAATTGGTGCCGGTTGAGTCTGATCTGCACGAGATAATCAAGGAGATCTCGATTATGCAACAGTGTGATTCACCCTATGTGGTGCGCTACTATGGCTCCTATTTCAAGCAATACGATCTGTGGATCTGCATGGAATACTGCGGCGCCGGCAGCGTCTCGGATATTATGCGTTTGCGCAAGAAAACTCTGACGGAAGAGGAAATTGCGACCATATTATCGGATACGCTCAAGGGCCTGGTATATTTGCATCTTCGTCGCAAAATCCATCGAGACATCAAGGCAGCTAATATATTGCTGAATACCGAGGGCTATGCCAAACTGGCGGACTTTGGTGTCGCTGGTCAGCTAACAGATACGATGGCCAAAAGAAATACAGTTATTGGAACTCCCTTCTGGATGGCTCCGGAGGTGATTGAGGAGATCGGTTACGATTGTGTGGCGGACATTTGGTCGTTGGGCATCACAGCGCTGGAAATGGCTGAGGGCAAGCCTCCATATGGAGAAATACATCCGATGCGTGCCATATTTATGATACCACAAAAACCGCCACCCTCGTTCCGGGAGCCGGATCGCTGGAGCACAGAGTTCATTGATTTCGTTAGCAAGTGCCTGGTCAAGAATCCGGATGAGCGAGCAACGGCCACTGAACTGCTAGAGCACGAGTTCATACGCAATGCCAAGCATCGCAGCATACTGAAAACTATGCTGGAAGAGACGTGCGCCATAAGGGAGCAACAGCGCGCCCATCGCGCAGCTGGTGGTGCCATGAGCCAGGCCAAGAGTCTGGCCACCCAAGAGGGTGGCCTAATGCTGCACGAGGAGGAGAACGAATACAATTCAGGCACAGTCAAGACATTTGTAGATCCCGGCACTTTGGTGCCTGAGAAATTCAATGAATACCAGGAGAACTCGGCCTCGGATGCGACCATGATAGCTCATCGCGAAGATGTGGACGATGCTACACTGGGTCCCGGCGGCATAAAGGCAGGCATGGCGAAGGCAGCAGCCAAAGCGTCAGCGACAGCAGCCGGCGGTGCTGGTGGCACTGGTGGCAGTGCTGATGTGGCCACAGTGGACAGCGGCACCATGGTCGAACTGGAGTCCAATTTGGGTGAGTGAGAAAGGAAATGGATAAGTACGGAAATAGTAATGGCAGCCATGTGAACTTATCTCAAGCAAGGCATTCGAATTGTTTAAACATCTTGTCTTCCTTCCGGCAGGCACAATGGTCATTAATTCAGATTCGGATGACTCGAGCACGGCCAAGCGTAATGATGATCAGAAGCCGCGCTATCGCTATCGTCCACAGTTCCTCGATCACTTTGAGCGCAAGAATGCGGGTCCCGATGAGAAGGCAACGACGGAGTATTCGCCCGCTGCCGTGGAGCAACAGCTGCAGCAGCAGCAACAGCAGCAGCAGCAACAACAACAGCAGCAGCCACAGGAGCACTTGGCTAGTGGTGCGCATGATGCCAACAATTGGGAGCACAACATGGAAATGCAATTTCAGCAAATCTCAGCAATCAATCAATATGGCCTGCAACAGCACCAGCAGCAACAGCAACAACAACAGCAGCAGCAGCAATTGCTCATGGCGTATCCCCTAATGACCGAGCAACTGATTGCGCTCAACAATCAGCAGAATTTGCTGCGTAGCTCGCAGCAGCAGCAAGGCGGAGCGGCAGCTGCAGCAGCAGTTGCTCCTGCAGCGCCGCCGCCCGCATATCAGCATCAGCATTTGCACACACAATCGCACGCCTATGTAGAAGGAGAGTTTGAGTTTCTCAAATTTCTCACCTACGACGATCTAAATCAGCGACTGAGCAATATTGATCACGAGATGGAGCTGGAAATTGAGCAGCTGAATAAAAAATATAATGCCAAACGACAGCCCATTGTGGATGCAATGAATGCGAAGCGCAAACGCCAGCAGAATATCAACAATAATCTAATTAAGATATAAAAAACAGAAGAGATAACAATTTAAACATACATATATACATGTATATACTCATATGTATATATATGTATATGCGTAAAAGCAGAAGGAATAGCAAACTCATTTTGAGCAGCAGCTGATATTGTAAGTGAAACGAGAACGTAAAAGCTTTATTGTAAAATGCACTGAAAAGCAGATATATCTATATATACTATATATATTTATTAATATATAGACAAGATGAAAGAAAACAAATCACACTCGAAACATATTGTAAAATGCACTTTGTATCGTTTCATAATCGAATTGTGGCATATTATATTAATTTTAAATGTTTCTTTTAGTACTGCCTCAAAAAAAAAAAAAAAAACAAAAACAAAAAAAGAAACCCCCTCTCAAAATGCTGCTCAATTCAAAACATAAGACTAAATTGGTGCGTTCAACCTTTGTTAACTAAACTTTATACTATTATTTAAACAAATTAACACATTGTGTTATTTTCTATTTTCTATTAATTTAAGACCCACACACAATTTGAGTGCATCACAAGAAATTTTAACAAGCAACTGTCAAGCAATAAAACAAATAGTAAGGCAACATTTTTATAATGCATATTTTTGGAAGAGATATATAGATATATATATAGAAATCACACGCATACACACTCACATACATACATATAAAGTATAAAATATATATAGTAACTAGTGTTTACCTAATAAATAATTTACACAAATATACATACGTATACATATAAATATATAAATTTATATGCAAGAACATATTTGATTTTAAACTAAAACCTAAAGGAAATAGAAAACCTGCTGCGAATTTCAATTGTCCAAGATATATATATATATATTATATATATAATTGATAGTTTAGCATGTATATAGAATTATTCTCAGTTTTTTTTTTCTGTTTTCTCAATAAAGTGATGAATAAATAAATAATAAAGTTTTCTTCCTTCATTCTTCTCGTTGCCCTGTTATTCCGCTATATCCATTTGCTGTGCTGCCTGCTCCAAGTCCTGCAGCTGTGCACGCAAATCCTCCGGCAGGCTGTGCTCATTCAGCGCACTCGGATCCTCGCCATCGACAACAATCTCCTCTGGATCGGGTGCTCGCGGCAGAAACTCTTCATTTTCATAGAGCTGGCTGAAGATGTGACGCGCATTCTCTATGGCCGCATCATAGTCCTGCTCGTAGACGGGTCCAGCGGTGCAGTAGATGGGCGTGGCCGCGTTTGCAATACTCTCGGCAGCTGGAGCGGCTATTGTAAAGTAGGCACTGTAGAGGATCTCACTGGCGTTCGGGTCAAAAAGCTGCGCCACAAAGTCAGCCAAATCTCCAGCTGGATTGGAGCTTACTGCAGGCGTCGTTAAGTGGAGTATATCTAGAAAATGTAAAAGATTTCTAATTAATAAGTGTTTACTTCAAGAGTAGCTGCGACACCTACATAAACCCTCTGGACAGGCGCCCGAATAGTGTGAGAGTTGTATCAGGCAAGCCTCCCGCTCTCCACTTGTCGTAAGCAAGCGCAAGAAGTTGACGCCTCCGCCTCCCTTATTTAGCTCTTCGCTGCCCAGGGGCTTGGAGGTAATGAACAAGCCTCTCGATAAGCGCGGTTCGGGGTCTCCGAAGTGGGTGGCCAATGTGGCTGGCAGTTGGGAGGGAGCAGAAACTAAATGCTTTGCCCGCAATGTTTTCCCTGCGCTGCTCACAAGCAGCTCGCTCTCCGTCCAATTGATATCCTCGACGCTGCGCTTTAGGCAATAGATGCCCCCATAAACAGCGCACAGACGGCAAAAACATTGCGGCAATTCGCCACAGCCGTACATGGGAAACAGAAAGGGCGTATTGCCATAGCGACCGAGGCTGCCAAGGAAACGCTGGGTGCGCTCCATGCCCGTCTCGAAGCTGGTGCTGGCATCGCACATGGCAATCGCTTGCATCACACAGTTGGAGATCTTCTCCGTCACCCGCTGTGCCTGCAAATACTCCAGAAAGGTGCCTCCGCGAAACGCTAACGAATCCTCGTTGCATTTATCTTCGCCGTAATCATTGCAAGCGGTCAGAAACTTCATCAGGAGTCGTTTCTCGACCATAGTCAGAGTTTTGGTATTAAAGACATCGCTGCGGGAACAGGGTACTGAGACGAGTTCTTTGCTGTACAGCATACACACATGATCCAAGGAGCGAAATTCAGCATAGCGACAGATATTCGACTTGAT